TGTGATCTTTTTATGTCAATCCCCTTCTCATTCTGTTTTATTTGGCTGCTTGGCCAGAGGATGATTTCATATAATTTTAATTGCTTTAGTTTCATAGAATAATTATGCATTAAATTCACAGTAATATTAGGATTAATTTTTCATAATTTTACTTTTAACCACTTAAAAGTTAGTTTATGAAAACTGGGCAAGTTGTATCTGTAGCTTATAGTCCCAGTTTCTTGAGAGATGGAGGCAGGAGGTTAGCTTAAGTCCAGTAGTTCAAGACCAGCCTGGATAATATAGTGAGATCTGTCTCAAAATACACAGAAAAAGTAAGTTTTGAACCATCTTCATTTGTCCCTAAAGGACTCTAGAGCATATACATGTGGAGACAGTCTGGTATAATGAACCTTGAAGTCAGACTACCAGGTTCAAATCCTAACTCTGCCACCATGGAGGTCTGTGCCATTTATCTCTGCAGCTCACATGTGCCATCCAAACCTGCTCACACCTGGTCTTGCTTTTACTACACTGAGTAGAATTCTGCTGTGCATATCCAATTTTATGATTTGGAGAATCAAGTAATGCTCTGTTCATGATAAATGTTCTTGTTACCCAGTTTCTTGGTTTTCCATAGCCAGCTATCTGATCTCTACCAGAGCCTAGTAGCAAGTCAGGAATCAAATGGATAGTAGTTGTTGGCAAACCCTAAGAGATCTTTAGACCTTAGTCTCCTGATGCTTATCACGGGCCCCTTAACAAATCCATGTCTATTAGGTCATTTCTCATACTGTTGGATGTGCTAAGGCAGAGACTCAATGGTTAGAGCAGTTTTCGTTGTTACAGACCCCTCTCTTTGAACAGGCTTCAATAAAAACTAACAACTTCATGGTTTTTCCAGTAGATGGGTCAGAACATCGTGTCCAAATAGGAAGCATCCGGTTGTTTTTCCTGCTTCTCAGCTAAGCAGTGCAAGGTATAACTGTTTCTCTGACTTGAGATTAGACATTCTGCCTCAGACCAGTGAAACCCTAAAAACCACTGATTCAGAGATTCCTGAACTTCCATGGTATTTTTCTCCCATCCCTTCTCTTGTTTATGTGTTTATGCAAGTGTCCAGGGTACTTGCTACTTTTTGTTCTTTAGGTCCAATTAAGGCAATGCCATAATGTAGTAGACCAGTGTGGTGATCTAAGAAAGGTCACAGCCCTCCAGACTGTTTTATTATGACAATTCACACCTGACCCTCAAGTTAGACAGCAAAAGGGATTAGGTATTTGTGGCAAACTAACTCATTGTCCTTGCTGATGTTGTGAGAAAAGAATGAATTTGCCAGGGCAAGAGTCTCATATCAGATATCAGGGGTTGTGCTGATTTTCTTCAGCCCAAAATATCACATCTAGAATTGCAGTTGTAATTGGAATTACTACCTGATTAAATTTATGGTAATCCATAGTCATGTTCTAGGATGTTTCTGGCTTTGGTTCTGGTAAATAGGCTAGTTAAATGGGAATATGGTGGGATTTAACACCCTTGCATTTAACACCCTTCCAGTTTTTGATGGTGGTACTGATTTCTGAGCTCAGAGTGATATGGTATAATTTTTTGTTATTTTTTTAGTTGGAGCAAGGAAAATAGTTCGAAGAGCTTTAAGCTTGTAATCAAATTGACAGTAGTTGTTGTCAAACCCTTGGGGGGTCTACAACTCTTATTCTTCTCTTGATGCTTGTCAGAGGCTTCTGCATGGTCCTTTCTCCTGTAATAAAATTTATGATGTAGGGCAGGGAGCCAATGTGGGGATTTGGGCTAGTTACTATTATATTGATTTCCACTAAAATTTATAGGACTAGGAAAATAAACACAAGGTAGGCTTATGGTTTCATTGGACCCACTTGAGTTATGAGGGCCACCTTCATCTCTGGGAGTCCCACTCTGACTGGTGGGCCACATTTGGCATTAGTATCAGTTCTGAGTTAGTATCCCATCTTATAACTTATGGAAGGATAATAGATTTCCCTTGCTTCAGTTGGACAGTCAACCTTTGGAATTGCTGTAGATCACTCTTTGGAAAGGCCTGGAGAAAGATCAAGAGTATATGATTATGGCCTTGTAAAGGGCCACAATCTTACGTTTAATCTTCTTTGGTCTAATACTATTTGAATATACTCCCATATGTGCTTCTCAGACTCTTACTGGTAAAAAATTGAGATTTTGCAGATTTTCTTTGGTATAAAGGCAGTCTTCTTTTAGAGTAGTACTTGAACTTCTTTCTGGTCTATTTTGGGTTATGAGGCAGTGAAGGGTAGCAGGAGCAGGTAGTCAAGAGAATGGGAGTCCTCTTGTGAAACAATCTCAAAGGATTTTATGGGGTACATTGGTAGTCTCAGTACCCTCAGGGATGCAGGTAACTGCTTTCAGCAGGGAACTTGAGCTAAATTGGAGTTCAGTTTTTTAGTGTCTTCCCAGCTGTCTCAATCCATATTTCTGAATCATTCTGCTTTCCAGCCAGTGTCCCTTGTGTTAGCATATGAGACTTTGCAGTGTTGCAAGTTTAATTAGCTTTTGTAATCCTTCTGGGCTTGATTCTTAGTCCTATCAGCTTGGCAGTTTTAAGAGATAGTAGATTCTCTAAAACATCCATAGATGGATATCCATCTATTTGGGAATTCATGGCTTTAAACTTGTCATTTGCTTTGTGCACATTCTCAAGAACAGCCAGAAGCAGCCCTAGCCCATGTTACAATCTCTGAAGTAAACCTTTTCATGAGCCACTCAGATTTCTAGCAGCCTGCCCTCCACCTGCATTCCATCTTGTAACAGCATGCACAAGAAGTAATTGAAATGGTCATGATGTCACTGTGTGCCATCTCCTTCCTCCTTAAGAAGGTTATCAGGACACTTATCAAATATATATCTCACTTTTGAGGTTCTGTTTCCTAGGACCATTGTTGGTACCAGGTAACTACATTAGTTACAAGGCATACTAAAAAGTAATGAAGGGTGTCTAACAAAGGAATGTTTATTAAGGTGTTGTGGGTAGGGTTAAGGCAACCAAGGTATGGTTGAAGTCCCTCTTTCCCAGCAAGGTCAGGAGCCTATCATTACTCCTAGTCCTTGAATTATAACTGGGGTAGAAGAGGCTGCCTGGTAGAAGCTGGCCTTAGATAGAGAAATCTTTTGCTGTCCAATATGGATCAAAGGGATAATAACCTTAGCATCTCACTGCTCCTGCCCCTATTCTGCTAGTGCCTCATAGTGAGGCACTGAATCTAACCAGAGGACAAGGGCAGAAGGTAGATGGCCTCTGTTTGTAGCGCATACAGGTCAGCTTTCTGGGATGTGGCAGGGTGGAAAAATATAGGTGATTTGATATGGAAGAGTAAATGGAGTATACATAGATATAGCACAAAGTGGAAACTCTGGCCAGGTTTGAGTGTGTACCTTGAATGTAGGCTTCTACATTTAACTGCCTGCTCTACCTGTAATCTTACATGTCCTCTGGGCACTTTGTATGGAACAGCTTTTTCAACTCTTTCCCCATCCTTCATTCCTGATGCCACTCAATGTGGTATCTTATTGTCCCTTCCAAAGGGAAGGCCTGAGGCCTGATGTTTTCCTGTAATTCTGCTGTGAGTTACAGCACAAAAGGCACAAATGTTTAAATTCATATAAAATTAAGTGCTAGTGGGACCTATGACCCTAAATCCCACATTCTCAAGGGACATGTGTGAATAGTGTAGCTAATAATCTTCCCCCTCAGATTCCCTTTTGCTGCTTGCTGGTAAAGAGTGAGCTATGGTAGGTCATGGGACCCTCAGATTAAACTAATCCAGGAAAATTATCCAGGCATACAGACCATTTAAAAGATATTATTTGGTGTCAGTGGAAAGTATAGTCTGCTCTGTGTAACAAAGGTGACATTAGTGTGACATATCAAGCCCTTTGTTCATGGGTGGAATGATATTAGCATATTGCATTTGTTTTGTGTGAAGATCTACTACAATGTCTCTGATCACTAATTCAGTGCATAAGAATCATCTACAGTGTTGGATTCCCCCCCCCCCCTCAGTTCTGGGGATTGAACTCAGGAATGTTCTATCACTGAGCCACATCCCCACTGATTTTATTTTTTTTTATTTTGAGACAGGGTCTCACTCAGTTGCCAAGACTGGCCTTGAGCTTGTGATCTTCCTGCCTCAACCTCCCAAATTGTTGGGATTATAGATGTGCATCTTCTGGCTTCATCCAATTTTTTTGTTAAACTTTTTTTAGTTGTTCATAGACCTTTATTTATTTATACGCGGTGCTGAGAATCAAACCCAGTGTTTCACACATACCAGGCAAATGCGCTACCGCTGAGCCACAGCCACAGCTCTTCATCCAGTTTTTAAAGCATAGCGTGGTGTTTATGAGTTGGGACTCTGGTGCCAAACAGGCTGGGTCAAAATTCTAGATGTGCAAATTATTTATTCTCTTTGTGACTCTGTTTTCTTACTAGTAAAATGGGAATAAATAGTTACCTACCAAACAGGATTGTAATCTGAATTGTTCAGCAGTCACATCACTGGTTTGACCTGATACAAAATCTGAAAGTCATAGTTTGTAGGATGGCTCATAACCACTTCCCCCTCTCATCTCTGCTACCTGTAGAGGAGTCTCTTTCTTTACGTGCTTCAGTATTAACTAGTAGCACAGTAGACTACTGTGACAGGAGGGCAAGGCTCTGATCATCCAACCAGAACTCCTTTCGTTAGTCCACACAAACTGCAGCATATAGACTCCTGGAATTTCCAATGGAAAGGAAGGTAGATAGGATACAAATGCTTGATTGTGGTTTAGTGCTAGTAACACAACAGGAAATCTGTATAAATATGTATAAATCTCTAACCTGGGCTGAGATTTATAAATTTCTGCCAGAATAAACATCAAATGGGTCCTATTTACAAGGAATGACAAATCTTAATAATATTTTTAAGTTATCTTGCTAATCAATTCTTTTTTTTCCCCTGTTGGTTAAGGTTGCATGATGGAATTTGAACATTACTTCAAGAGTTTTCATATTTTGGATTAGTTAATTGTGCTCATCCTCTGTTGATTATTTCTTCGGACTCATTTTTTGGTTTTTTTGGTGCCCTTTTGAGTCATTTAAACGCAAAGAAATTATATCATGGACTACAAGGAAAACTGCCCAAGTGTAAGCATTCCCAGCTCTGATGAACACAGAGAGAAAAAGAAGAGGTTTACTGTAAGTATGTAACATACAGCATACGGGAAAAATTTTGTTATAGAAAATATTTCCATTTCTGCTTTTGTTCTTCCCTAAGCTAGAATGTTTCTCTTTCCCCCATTTCTGAATATCCAGATTTTATTTCTTTTGAATGATGTGTCCTCCACAGAGTCTGCCCTGCTATTATAACAAAAATAAAACTTCCTTCTTTAATGCGTATTTTTGCCTGTTTTCCCATTTCCTTGGAGAACTATACAAAACTATCTCAGACCCTCTTTATCAGAAAATGTATGTATGTGGTCTAGTGCGGTGGTGTACACCTACAATCCCAGCAGCTTGGGAGGCTGAGGCAGGAGGATTGCAAGTTCAAAGCCAGCCTCAGCAATTTAGCAAGGCCCTAAGCAACTAAGTGAGACCCTGTCTCTAAATAAAATATAAAAGAGGGTTGGAGATATGTCTCAGTGGTTAAGTGCCCCTGAGTTCAATTCCCAGTACCAAGGAAAAGAAAATGTATGTGAGCATACATACTGGTCTACGTACTGATAATTTTATGTATACTGTCAGGTGTTGTTGATCCATGTTAAGAATTTCTGTCATGAAGTTTCCGTAGTATCTTTCCTATGACATTTATTACTTTGTTTTGTTTTTAATATTGTTGTATCAGATGTCCTTTTTTTCATCTTAGAAGCAAAACCCACTTCTGATTTTATTTTTTAATACTGTAGTATCTGTTATATAGCTTTATAAAGAATAAGCACAATGAATATTTCCTGTTGTTAGTATACAATAGAGAATAACCGCTTTTTAAATTAACATAATGAAACATACAATATTGTATTTATTTCCAGTAGTCCAGTTAGTATATACAGATATCTCCTACCCTTCTGAAAAAGAAAAGTCATTTATCTAAGTGATCTAGTCGTATAAAGTCCCCTCTGCTGAGTAGTGTTAAGAAATTCATTTAACAACTTAGATCTGTTTAACACTTATTTTGATCTAGGTAAAAATGCCCAGGTTGTGTTAATTCTGCTCTTTTTTCTTATTTTGACATACTTCTCCAGGTTGTCATCTTGACTTATGGGCAGGAGGGTATCTCCTTTCACAGTATTGATTGAGTAGATGACTAATTTCATGGTAACCTAGAGAAGGCTCTTGTAGTCTGGTCATCCCTGTAGATCTTTCCTGTTCTAGCTGTGGAATGGCTGGTCTAGCACATATCCAGATGTGGCTGACATCATATAGCCCTGGGCATTTTATCAGCTCTGTTGCTGGCATCTGCAATTGATGGACTAACTTGGGATCTCTCCTTTTTTGGCTTGGCCAGGGTCCTAAAGGGGCCCTCTACTGACTCAGTGCTTTGGCTCTCAGAAGCCAAAGAACCTCCTAAGGCTGTGACATGTTCTTTCCTGCTCTTGACTCAGTAGTCCCTCCCAGCCTCCAATGAGGGTTTCACCTGACCCCTGCCAGTTGAGCCCCATGACAAGCAACTTTCAGTTCAGAGTGCATGTCACATGGGAGATGAGAAAAGCTGGAGAGTTAAACTAAACCCTTCATCTGAACACTACACTCTGCCTTTTTAACTGTGTGGGCTAGGTGCTCCCAAATGGTGGCTTTCTCCCAAGAAAGGGAGAAAAGAAACAGCCTCTCTGCTCTCTGTTCTTTCCTAAACAAACACACCTCCCACCTCCTGAATCAATGGCCAGAGCAGAGAGATTGGAGGCCATTTACCACTTTTCATGTGTGCTGTCAGCCTCTATATTGCAGTGGTATCTTAAACAGTGTGCATTTGTTACACATGATTTAAACACATTTTTACTAATATCACAATGAAGGTAAACAAGGGTTAGTAAACCTTGGGTAAAGTAGGGAAGTGTGTGCAAGTTTTTTTCCTTCCCTCTTCTTATTTTTACCTTTGGGCCATTCTCTGCTTCAGGGACTTTACCTCCTGCCAAGTTTGACAGAAATTCATAACATTGAAAGTGTGGGCTGTAGGTTGTGTCAGATGTCCTTTGATTTTTCAGGGTATAGGTATTTCCATGTTTTCTGAGAAACGGTCAAGGAAGACTTCAGCAACTTTCTTACCTAGCTGTGCCCACATGTGCTCTGAGTTCTCAGAAGCCTTGTCCAAATCACCATGTTCATTTATTTCTTCAGATTCCCAAATGTTGCCTCATTACAGAGACTTTTTCTGGCCTCTTAAAATATAAAATAGCACCTTCAAACCCCACCCCAAACACCCTTTCACTCTGTCCTGATTAATAACTCTTTAATAGCTGTAATCATCACCTGACTTTTGGCGTTTATTTACATGTGCTTTGCCTGCCAAATCAAGGTCCTTTGAAGCAAGAACTTCCCTTACTATTGTTTTACCATCCCCTATAACAGAGATAGTAGATGTTTAGTAAGTATTTGTTGGATGAAAATAGTACTAAGTTCATGTATTAGTTACTGGGTCACAATAGTGCTGTCCTCAGTCCTCAAGAAACTTGATTCTAATGAACTCAGATAGACCCCTCGTCATCCGACACAGACACTCTGTTCAGCTTCAGCAAGTCCAGATGCCTGTAGAACAAAAATAGACCTTATGTTACTGAGTATTCAATAATATTTTTACACTCTTCTCATCTTTTATGTAACTCCCATAGATTCATGCATTGCATTCTAGTATGTCTTGACTTAAACCAAGTCTACATTATATTTTCATTTATCCACTTGACAAACTGTCGGTGAATTCTGTATTATGCCAGGAATCTTCAAGGTACTAGAGATTCAATGGGTAACACAGCTCTAGCTCTCAAGAACTTAAATTCTGGTGAGAAAAGACAGACCAAGTAAATACTCAAATAAAAATAATTTCGTATTACAATAAGTATTGTATTGTTTCTGTGAAATCCTGCTTTTTTCCAGTAGAAGTATTTTTTAAATTTTAAATGTTTTTTGCTTGTTATTTTATTAGAACTTACTTAATAAGCACTTGTCTATAACCATACTGTTAGTTAATAATTTCACAAGACCTTATTTCCTGTAAATATATTTGCTGCAGATCCACTCCAGCCTGGAACCCAAGAGTGGTTCTGTTCTTGGCTGTACCTGGGAGCCAGGGGAGGCCACCTGACATTTCTAGGGACTACTGTCCTCACCAGGAAATCAGCATACGAATTTAAGAGCCTGGGCCAAGCGCGGTGGCACATGCCTGTAATCCCAGCGACTTGCAAGGCTGAGACAGGAGGATTGTGAGTTCAAAGCCAACCTCAGCAAAAAGCAAGATGCTAAGCAACTCAGTGAGACCCTGTCTCTAAATAAAATACAAAATAGATGTGGCTTAGTGGTTGAGTGTCCCTGAATTCAATCCCCAGTACCCCACAAAAAAACAAGAAGGGTCTGGGGATGTGGCTCAGTGGTTGAGTGCCCCTGAGTTCAATCCCCAGTACCAAAGAAGCTTGCTGAATATGGTGGTACATTCCTGTAATCCCAGTCACCTGGAGGCTAAGGCAGGAAGACTGCAGATTCAAGGCCAGCCTCAGCAATTTAGTGAGACCCTGTCTCAAAATAAAGAATAAAAGGGCTGGGGATGTGGCTCAGTGGTTAATTTAACACCTCAATGTTCATTTAAGCACCCCTGAGTTCAATTCCCGGTACCAAAATAAAAGAATTTAAGATACTCACAATCATATAAACTTAAGGTTTTTGTCGTTCCATAGCAGTGCTCCTCCCAGGCCTGTCTGATCCTATGTGCTGTATCACACATAATCTGATCTTAGCTTCACTGGCATCTTGACTAGGTCTTCTGCCCTTCACTTCTGCCCTCTTTCTCTGGGGAGAGTATTACCTGACAACAAATTCTAACATGTTATACCCAGTTACTCCCTCTAAGACAACTCAGTGCCTTTATTAGAACTTACTTAATAAGCACTTGTCTATAACCATACTGTTAGTTAATAATTTAAGAACTGGATCACCTGTAAGTGATGTTGTACCCAAGTGCTTTTCTTTCCCTCTGAGTGATATATGTCTCTTGTCCAGGTGACTGATACCAAAGACTTGACTTCACTTTCCAGTTGACGCTGTATCCCCTCACAGAAGGCTTTATATTTTGGGGTCCTTCAGTGAAACTGTGGCCCTGTGAATGTGTCTATATATTAATAGTACTACAGAATTTCTATAACATAATCACATAAAATATCAGATTGTTGCTTTTCTTACAGTATTATCTAAGGTGAACTTGTGGATATAGGTTACCTATCTTTCATAGGAAAGGAGAGTTTGTATTCCTTTGTGTTCTTGTCTTCTGAGATAAAGTTTCTCTTTTAAGTTGTCTAACAAACCATATGAAATATCGTAAACCTCAAAAGCAACTTATATTTCTTGTCATCACTATAAAATAATACAATTGATAAACCAGGTCCTACGTCAGCCAGCCTTTCATCATATACCTGGATTCTTGTTATTTTTCCTTTAGGAATTATACAAAATCCTTGGGCCCTAAACTCTTCTCTCATAATTCATCACAATATGTGGAATTATATTCTGAAAGTATCTATGGGTGAATTAAGAGAGTTCATTCTATAACTGTTGATGATTTGATACTGGTTCTGGTACATAGAGAATAGAAGGTTTAGATTTTTATCTTGAGTTTTATGTTGTTCATTTAAGACTATGAACTTAGGCAAGTTATTTAACTTGTTGGCTGTCACTTTCTCATCTGTAGTGGAGGTTAATAATTTTTGTTCTGATTACTTCATAGGGTTGTTGATTATAGTTATGGGATCATGTATTATGAAAATGTTAAGCCCATGTAAGATGATATTAGAAAATCTGAGTTACAGACTCTTAATTTAAAGAGTACTGCATAAAAGATGGCCTGCAAAAAAGAGTAATAATAGTTTAGTGTTTACTCTGTGCCAGGCATTACTTTTGAAAGTACTTGATAATTTCTAGCATTACTTTCGAAAATTCTTTATAAATTTTATAATATTCAGTACATATGATGTTATACTCTTGAGAAAAACCTGAAGCAAGACTGGCAAAATGTCAGAATTAAGTAGATCCAAATAATGAATATTTGTATGTTATTTTCTAAAAATTACAGCAATATTTCATAACATTAAAAAATAATCACCTCTTGATAAGATTAACATTTCAGTTGGTATGCTTATGTGCTTGAGAATAATATGTAAACATTAATCTTAATACCAGTTTTGCAAGTATAAAGACATTTTTACAAATTTAACTAATGGGGGTTTTTGCAGTTAAGATTTCTTAAATTAATGTTATTTTTATATCTGCAGGTTTATAAAGTTCTGGTCTCTGTAGGGAGGAGTGAGTGGTTTGTCTTCAGGAGATATGCAGAGTTTGACAAACTTTACAACACTGTAAGTAATAGTCTACAAGATTCTACTTGAAACACCTTGAAAAACCCCCAAAGATTTATTGGAGTGAATAAATTAATACTAACATGTATCAGAAAAGCAGAAAAGGGTAAGGGATTCTTAAAAAGCATCCTAACAGGAATTCTTACAAATAAAGGTGCAGAGAAGACTGTTGAGCAATTCCAAATAAACTGTTGAACAGCTTATATACATTTTATTGTCAGAGACTATTAGAAAAATCCTTCATACCAAATAATAGTTGTTACTCATCATGGTATTTCTGCTGAGTAATTGCCCAGTTATAAGCTTTAGATCTGAAAGTCTGTCATGAGCCCACCCTCTTTCCATATGTTATTTTTAGTTAGGGATAAGTCTTAGGTTCTAGGGTTGTTGTGTTTTTTGTATTATTGTTGTTTGGTTGGTTGGGTTTTTTTGTATTGTGGATTGAGCCCAGAAGTGACATGGAGCCACATCACCATATCCCCAGTTATGTTTTATTTATTAATTTGAACAAGGTCTCGCCCAGTTGCTGAGGATCTCAGTAAATTGCCGAGGCTGGCCTGGAACTTGCAGTCCTCCTTCCTCAGCCTCCCAAGTTGCTGGAATTACAGGTGTGCACTACCATGCCCAGCCAGAGTTTTTTATTTGTTGTTGCTGTACTAGGGATTGAACCCAGAGGAACTCTATTATTGAGACACATTCACAGTACCCCTACCCCCATCCCTTTTTATTATTTTGAGTCAGGGTCTCACTAAGTTACCTGGGCTGGCCTTGAATTTATAATCCTCCTGCATCGGCTTCCCGAGTTACTAGGATTACAGGCATATATAACTATGCCCAGCCATTTTAGATTCCAGATTTTAAGTAGCTAAAACAACTGAAATGAGTATTAATTTTCTTTCAGATACTTGGTGGGTGAGATTCTTTTTAAGTGGGTTTTTAAAAAATATGTTCTTTTTAGATATACATGGCAGTAGAGTGTATTTTGATAGTGAAAGCTAAGAGACCACTGACTACCTAAGTAACTAAAACCTGATTTTTATATATTCATAATTCAGATAGTAAAGAATATTCATAATAATAATGTTTAAAGTTGCACAAACTTTCTAAAGTAGACAGCAAAACAGCAGCATCATTGTAACTCATCAGGCTCAATACCACCAAGTACTGATGTGGATGGGGGTTGTTGCCTTGAAAGATCTATGTGGAAGACAAGAATGCCTAAGTTCATCTCCAGGTTAGGGCAGCTGTGAGTTCCAAACTTTGCTTCAGTCAAGTAAAAAGCAATTGTGGCCAAGCATAGTGGTGCCCGAAGACTCTGAAGGCTACGGTAGGAAGATAGCAAGTTTGAGGCCAGCCTTGGCAACTTAGTGAGATCCTTAGAAACTTAGCGAGAATCTGTCTCAAAAAATAAAAAAATAATAATAAAAAGCTGGAGGTGTAGCTCAGTAGTAAAGCACTTATAGGTTTAGTCCCCAGTATCAAAAACAAAACCAAAGATACAACTATGCCTCAAATTCCAAGTTTCAGTTCTTTATGTTCTCATAATAATGAGGTTTCCCAGTGTTGTTTAATAAGTGGGAAATTATTAGACATTCTCTGTATTATATACATAGGATGATAATTTTTAAAATTTCTTAACCCTGGTTCCTGAGACATATAAATATGTAAGTTACTAGTTACAAGATTTTTTTTAGACATTTTTCTTTTCTTTTTTTCTCTTTTTTATTTTTCAGAGCCAGGGATTGAACCTAGGGCCTTGCACATGCTAGGCTTGTGCTCTACCCCTGAGCTACATGCCCAGCATAAGATTTTTTTTTTAATGAGGGAAATTAAGTATATCTCCATTAAGAGACACATTATTTCCTAAATGGGCCAGAACAATGTCTATCTATAGAACTTTCCATTATTCATTAAGTAATGAAAATTAAGACTTCTGATTTTATCTCATTTAGCATTTTACTATATTTGTATTTGTTCCAAATAACATTCAGATGACATCCTAATTGAAACTGAACTTAATAATATTGAAATTTTTAAATGGTATTTGTTCCTATGCAAAATTAATAATATTCTAGCAAGTCTATATAATAGAGGAAAGTAAAACTACATTAAACTTTAAAGTCAGCCATCAGGCTGAGGATGTAGCTCCATAGTAGAGTACTTAGGTAGCATGCATGAGGCCCTGGGTTCAATCCCTGGTACTGCAAAAATCCATAAATACATTTTACTGTATTTTCTTTGTATTATTTTCTTTAATATCTGTGCAACTGAAATATCTATATAGTTTCAAATATTGCTTAGTCAAAGGATATTGAGATTCTTTTAACAATAGAGTTTGTATATGGGATATCCTTTGTAAATTTTTAGTGTTTTTTTAAGATATGGTTTACATTGGAGCCTGGGAAGGGCTGAACTGTGAGACGTAAAATACCTGTTAAAATACCCACTAAAGCTCTTGTATACCTGCTATCTACATAGCATTTTTTTTTTTTTTTTGAGATCTATATTAATCTCACTGTACCCATCAAAATGGCTAAGTTATTCTTTGGTGAAAGTAATATGACAGTAGTATCTCACATACACAGTACACTTCAGATTTTATCATCCGTCTCATTTCTCTTATATTCCTCTTCCTTTTTGTTTTTTGGTTTTTTCTTTTTGTGTACCAGAGATTGAACCTAGGGGTGCTTAACCACCGAGCCATATTACCAGCCCTTTTTCATATTTTATTTAGAGATAGGGTCTCACTGAGTTGCTCAGGGCCTCACTGAGTTTCTAAGGCTGGGTTTGAACTTACGATCCTCCTGCCTCAACCTTCTGAGTCACTGGATTACACATGTGCACCACCATGCCCAGTGGGTTTTTTTTCTTATTTCATCATTTTCTTTGTCTCTTTTTTAACATAACTGCTTTTAATTCTGCCTTCTATGGTGAGGGGCAAAGAAAAAACTAGGAGAATGATATCATTTGTGTTCTTTGAAACTATAGAGGGCAGGTTAAACCTGGTCTAGTAGAGTTCTAGCTTAGTGGGAGTTTAGAAAATTCTTCTGTAAAAAGTTTAAGGATGGGTGCTTCATGAAGAAGAGAATAAAAGTAATCATGCAATAAGATAACCAAAGCAAGCTTTATCTTTATGCTTAAAGATCCTCAAATATTAATACCCCAACTAATTAATCTCCAGCTGATAAAGTCATGAAACCTCATGGAGACCCATCACTGGTACAGATCTCCTCTGCTGAGTTTTGACAAGAAAACTGAGGCACATGGATGTTGAGTAACTTATCCAAGGTCACACAAATACTATGTGTTTTATTGAGACAAAATAGGATGGTAAATCTGTGGTATTTTATTGGAATGATTTAATATTACACATAATATGATCATATAGTTAAGTGTGTCTTACGGTGAATTTTATTTAAAATCAGATTGTTTTGGGTTTTAGTGTATGCATTACTAGAAGACCTAAAAAATTAGTTCATGTGATACTACTTTTTAAAATTTTAGTTGAAGAAGCAATTTCCTGCTATGGCCCTGAAGATTCCTGCCAAGAGAATATTTGGTGATAATTTTGATCCAGGTAAGCATTAACTTTATAGACCAATCATTAAGTAAGTGATGGTTGAAGTTTGAAGAAGTAGTTAACTTATTCATTGCACTGCATAGTAGTGCAGAAATTTTAAAAGTCAGTTTCTCCCATGTTCTGTGAGAATAATGTCTCAGGAAGGTATTTACTCTATACCAGTCATGATTTTAAGTACTTTGTACTTAATAAAAAAAAAGTAAGAAATCTTGATAATTAAGTAAAAGAGAGGAGAACCAAAAATAATAAAACCATAAGGCCTGGATAACTGAGAGAATTGATTAATTCAAAGTGGCAAAAATGAATGAAGAACACAACTGCATGTTGATGATGAGCCTTGAACTTGGATTCAAGTTCTGTAGAGCCCTTGGTTGAATCCTCGAGGCTGAATTATTTCCTCAAGGGCAGAAGGCAAAGTAAAAGACCTGCAACATCATTGCTTCATTGTTGAAAGCAAAATACAGGCTGCATGCCTTGTGGTGTTTATGTTTTCATAAATTAACTATTTGACACTAAAAATTCATTTTTGTTAAAGAACTGTTTGAAATCTATCCTGAGCATATTGTGACTTGCCAACAGTGAAACAGATTGTGTGTCATAGAGATCTTGAAAAACCCTGCAGTGAAGAAATCAAATCTATTAAAAACTCTGAAGATAGATAAGAAACAGCATTTTGGGGAAACAGCATTTTGCTGGTGGGCATGCACAGTGGTACAATCCTTGGAGAGAGGAATGTGGTTATACCAACAAAAATGTATGTATATTTCACTTTGGCCAAGTGGGATCTACCCAAAGATAAACCATATATACTGAGAAACTATAGAAATGATATACATGAAAAACTGCATATTGTGATATGATTTTTACAAGAAAAAACTGAAATCAATTGAAATATACTTTCAAGTCTACAATGCAATGTAGCTGTAAAAAAGCTACATTGCTATGGAGTGACCTCCAAAATATATAAGGTCGGGGAAAAGGGTGCAGATGAGTTTGTATAGTGTGTATTTTTTGTGTATGAAAAAGTGTGGGTATTTGAAAAGAAATAATAAATAAATAAAAATAATAAAACCAGTGATTTTGAGGAGGGATAAGACCAGAGGAGGCAACAGGGGTGGAAGTTAGATGTCTCATCTTGTTTATGTCTTTGACTTTGGAACCATGTATACATTTTAAACAATTTAAAAGCAAACATAAAAATGCAATAACAAAACATTTTCTAAGACTTTTTTTTAAAGTGTCTATTTAAGTACCTTCCAAGGTACTATGTTGAGGACTAAAGATAATAAGGGTTTTTTGGTTTGCATTTTGTTTTTTGGAGCACTGGAGATTGAACCCACAGGTACTCTACCACTGAGCCACATACCAGTCCTTTTAAAATTTTATTTTGAGACAGGGTCTCACTAACTTGCTGAGGCTGGCCTTGAACTTGCAATCCTCCTGCCTCAGACTCCTGGTAGCTGGAATTTATAGGTGTGCACCACTCCACCCAGCAAGATTTTTCAAATCCTTTCCTTCAACAGCTCTTGTAGAAACCACTTTTCAATTCTCAATTTTAACCTTCTCTGCATCTTTTAAAATATATATTCATATAAGGTCTCAATTGGAAAAAAAAAATTTTATACATATCTCCAACTACAGTTCTTAAAGATAATATGTTGAGGAGGGGATCCAAGATGGCAGGCCAAAGGGAGGCAGCATTCTGTGTCGCACCATGACCTAGGATTCAAGTACTTAGAATACAGCTTCTCTGTGAACAATATTCCTGCCCCCTGCACAGGAAGCACCATGCCTGTCCAGGGCTCCAGGCCTCAGCCTCAGAATAGGTCTCCCAACTATTCACTCACGCAGGACTACCGCCCAAGCGAGACCATCAGCAGATGCAGCAGCACCCTCAAAGAACTTTTGGCCACCCACCCGAGCAGAAATCATGGATGTGCTCCCAAGGAGAACACCCAGTAGCTTCCCATGATTAGGAAATCTGGCCGCCACCCCTGGTGGACCCCCATCTACCAACATGGGGCTCCCCCGGTGGCCACCATCTTGGGCCTGTGCAGCAGCGGACATAGTCCCCTATAGACAGTAGCCTGCCTGCACCCAGGAACTTCACACAGGCTCTGAAGTCAGCCAACACTGCAAGCCACAAAACTTGTGGCTGAACTCATCATCCAACACCATCGCCTGGCTCCCCTGACCTGACCCGGCATCCTGCTACTGAAAGCAGGAGCCCCCATCTTGGGTCATCATCATCATCATCATCATCTTCAGGTACCCAGTTTCTAACACGCCCCTCCCTCTAGCATCCACTAACCTGGCACAGTGACACCCTTCACCATCCTGAAGGTGTAGATACCAGCTAACAACAGACAACTCCATCTATAGGACCAGAAGGGAAGCATGAAAGATATTGATCTCCAACCAAAACAATCCTTTATTCTTTCAAGATTATTTTTTTCTTTTCCTTTCTTTTTTTTCCCACCCTCACATCCCCAACATATGTGAAACCAAGTGCTTTGCATGAATTAGGATTTTGAGGACTGGGACATTTGAATAGTATATTACAGTTGTGTTGTACATTCTTTTTTATTATTTTTTTTCCCACCAATTTCTGCTATTTTAACATTTTTTATTTTTCTTGATATATATGTGTGTTTATACTCTACTGTCTTCCCACTTATTTGTTTACTCAAATTTACTTCTGATCCCTTTTCCTGCTACTAATCTTCTTCTTTAGATTTCTCTTTCACACTTCCTAAGATACAACAACTGTATATCAGCACCTCCTACCTCCTCAGCATATCATCTTCCTCCTCACTCCCAGTTTTTTGCCTACCATCAGAAACTGTAAACCCTTTTACAAACCTGCTGATAGATAATAATTGAATTCACCATTTCTGTACAAAGTGACCAAACTGTACATGTCTTATTAGCAGACATTTGTTTTTAGGGTGTATATTGTTTACATTGGAATCTGATGCCATTGTACTTCACCTCAAAGGAGAGGTATTGGATCCTTACAGGGGCACTATAAGCCTAAGGGTAAAAACAGTAATGCCTAGTATATACAGTACTAGAAGGGAAGACACATAAGCAATATGAAAAGGGAAGAAAGTGCCCCAAACAAATCAAGATACTACATTATTAGGATCCATAGCAAGCACAGCAGAAGAAATTACACAGAAGGAGTTCAGGATGTACATAATTAAAATGTTCTGCAAATTTAAAGGATGATATAAGAGAGCAAATACAGGCAGCAAAAGATCATTTTGACAAAGAGCTACATAATCAAATACAGGAAGCAAAAGATTAATAGGGAGATAGAGGTTAAATAAAACAGAAATCCTTGAAATGAATGAAACAATAAAACAAAAAGTTCAATTGAATGCATCACCAACAGATTAGACCACTTGGAAGACAGGACCTTAGACAATGAAGACAAAATATATAATATTGAAAAGAATGTGGACTACATAGTGAAAATGGTAAGAACATTCAAGAAATATAGGATAGCATAAAAAGACCAAATTTAAGAATTATTGGAATAGAGGAAGGAATAGAGTTCCAAACCAAAGGAATGAGCAATCTATTCAATAAAATATTATCAAAAATTTCCAAACATGAAGAAACCAAATTTAAGACGCTTACAGGATGCCAAATGTACAAAATACAACAGGTCCACACCAAGCCACATTATAATGAAAATGTCTAAATACAGAATAAGGAGAGAATATTTAAAGCCATGAAAGAAAGGAATCAGATTACATATAGGGGGAACCGATTAGAATATGTGCAGATTTTTCAACCCAGGCCCTGAAAGCTAGAAGATCCTAGAATAACACATATCGAGCTCTGAAAGAAAATGGATGTCAACCATGATAAACAGAAGTTAAAAGATTTTTACAGCTCAAAAGTCTGCACTACAGAACATCCTCAGCAAAATATTTCATGAAGAGGAATTGAAAACAACAATGAAAATCAACAAAGGAAGGTATTACACTAAAGGAAAAACTAATCAAAGGAGAAACCAAGACAAGTTAAATATGAAAAATAAACAAAAATGGCTGGAAATGAAATTCATGTCTCAATAATAACACTGAATGTTAATGGCCTAAACTCACCAATCAAAAGACATAGACTGGCAGATTGGATTTAAAAAAAAGAAAACAATATGCTGCTGCCAAGAGACTCATCTCATAGGAAAAGGCATCCACAGACTAAAGGTAAAAGGTTGGGGAAAATAATAATACTTACATGGGCTGCGGAATCAAACGGGTTTCCATCCTCATATTAAAGTAGACTTCAGGCCAAAGTTAATCCAAGGGTTAAAGAAGGATATTTCATACTGCTTAAGGGAACAATTCATCAACAAGACATAACAATAATAAATTTATATGCCCCAAACAATGGAGCAATTAAGTTCATCAGACACTCTTCTCAGGTTCAAGAGTCAAATAGACCACAACACATAATTCTGGGTGACTTTAGCACACCTCTTTCACCACTGGATAGATCAACCAAACAAAAGCTGAACAAAGAAACTATAGAACTTAATAACTTAGACTTAACTGACATATATAGAATATCTCATCCTTCAGTGAACGGATATTCTTTCTTCTCAGCAGCACATGAATAGACCATATCTTATGCCACAAAGCAATTCCTAGCAAATATAAAGAAGTAGAGCTATTACCCTGCATTCTATCAGATCTTAATGGAATGAAATTAGAAATCAATGATAAAATGAAAAATAAAAGCAACTCCAACACCTGGAGATAAATAATATGCTACTGAATGAACAATGGTTGGAAAAGACATCAATGAGAAGATTAAAAGATTCTTAGAGATGAATGAGAACACAGATACAACATATTGAAATCTCTGGAATACTATGAAGGCAGTACTAAGAGGAAAGTGTATTGCATGGAGTTCATTCCTTAAAAGAAGAAAAAGTCAAATAAATGACTTAACATTACCTCTCAAAGCCCTAGAAAAAGAAC